ATGGGTCAATTTTGAAAATGGCTCTCTTTTGTATAGAAGTGGTGTGTGGCTAAACTGAAAATGTTGACTCAATAATGTACCCCAGTATATATATATTTTTTATTTTTTATTAATGTAAATACATATTTAGCTTCCAGACAATGTATATATACCAAGTTGAGAGTCTCATATTTCAGATGCAATTGGAACTGAGTTGATAGCCCAAAGCATTCGAAAGTTAGAGCTAAAAGTCTGATGGCACCTGAGCTCATATCTCCTGTATCGGTGGCCATTTTAGGTTGTACTGGTATGTCAGATCAGCTCAATCGCCAATTTCTCAGCCTCTGAGTATCACAGAAATCCAACACTTTGAATGAATAACAGAAAAATGTCCATGACAAGTGTCTATGGATCAAATTTATCAAAATAACTTTTCAAAACATGAAAAACATACAAAAATGTTAATTTTCAAACATTACATTTACAATAAATGTGATATTTGTTTTCAAATATATCCTTATTTGGGGGCATTTCAACCATTTACTTGTGTTACAAAAGGTTAATAAATGAAAAAGTGTTACTGCTTTCTCCCATTACCAATTTTGGGAAAAAATGACCCCCACTGCGTTTTTAAGTTAAAAATATGTTGCCGCTTTTAGAGTTAAAAAGACCGCGGCCATATTGTGTGGCAAACCATCCTGACTCCCGAGAGCAACAATATAATAAGCTTTGTAAACCAGCAAAGTGAAGAGTGTGAAAAAATGGATACAGAAAGTAATTACTTGTAAGAGCATCACATTCACTTTTGCCAAATCATGCACATTCAGATTCAAATAAAAAGTAGGCTACTTTCCCTTCTGTGACAGTGCACCAACTCCCCTTTTCAACCCTGTCTCTGCTGTAATTCAATCCAAGATGTTTAGTAAGGGAGAGAATAGGAATCCACTAGTGGCCCATCTTCACCTGGGAGTGAAGCCTATTCTGTACACCCACAAAGAAGGACGCTTGCCCATATAAACAAACACACATCACACCTACACACAATGTGTTCCTCACTCACCAGAACTCCCAACAAGCAGTGTCCAACTGTAAAACCAGGCAGACCCAGGAATATGTCAGGACATGTGTCTGTATGGTTGGTATTCCTCAGTGAGTTTACTGAGCTCAGTAATAAATAGCCGGGGTGACCCAGCTTTAGCCTGCTGGAGGTTGGGGTCACAGCAGAATGCTGGTTCAGAGTTCCATCAAAACACACGGCAACACACAGAGAAAAAGCACAACACAACATAGTGTTTGTCTCGTTAGAGTTAGTGACTCACTGCTTTTGCTGGCAAAACAGAGATTGTTGTGAAGGTCCTTATAGCATAGGAAACATTGGAAATGGGGCCTATCTGAGAGTGATCGTAGGCTAGTGCGTGAAATGGCTTTGAACAATGTGAGATCTCTGTTTTGCAAAGTTGTAAAAACGTTTTGTAATAAAAGTCAGATTAGGCGTGCCATTGTGATATACTGTATGTTTTCATTTTGTGCCGTCAATATCGATAGCTAAATCATTCATTGCTGGAACAACAACATTGGGAGAAACAAA